TCACAAATTTATTGCAAATCTATTTTGAAAATTTGTGCGCTGTATTGCCCGTGGATTTTCGTCTGACCGGAAATGGGTATTATGAATATCTGCTAGCTCTACATTCGTAAAATATTGCCTTTTCAACTGATAACAATTCGCAAAGAGTAAATAACTGAACTGTCAATTCAAATGACGCCAAACGCATGTTTGTTGTTCAAAACCTGCGATGATAAAAAATATTGACAATTTCGATTCCCGGTGATTAACACATGTAACATTATTTTTAAACGGATTTTACATAAAAATGGTACATTCTACCAATATGAACCAAGAGTACCTTTTTTAATAAAAAATTATGAAATTTCATACTTTTGAAAAGTTAAAAAAAGTCAACGTACAAATAAGTTATGGTAAATTTAGGAAGAATTTTTGGACCCACGTTTATATAAAGAAAAAGTAATCTTTTTCGACACAGAACACCCTGTAGAAATATTGCCCCCTAATTTTGGGACACCCTGTATATTTCGTTCTAAAAATTTTTTTTCTGTTCACTCATTAATCATTAGTAATATTTTTGGTTTTCCATTTAAAAATTAAAGTAGCAAAAAAAAAATCTACTACAACTGCAGCCTAATTATATTTGAAATCGCATTATATTCCAAAGAAGCACACCTGCTAGAACTGTCAACTGCGAGTCAGCCGATACATGTAGCGTGCGCGCTCCACTACTCCCCAAATACGTTTCACCGCCGGAGATATACACTTCCTCTCTCTTGCTTAGTAATTGTCCAAAACATGACATAAATTTATTTAATTTTAATATGCAATAGCATAAAATCGATGTAAAATTTCCCTGGGAACACGATGGTGCAATTATTTTTTTGCTACTTGCCGTAGTTTACGAGATATTTGCGAAAAACCTTATTTTTTACGGTTTTTTGACCTTTTGACCCCTTTCCTGACCACCTAGGTAAAAAATTCTTGCGGATTCGGATTCCTGAGGGTCGAAAACATATTTGCGCCCAGGTGTGATCGACAGAGGAAAAAATGGAGGTTCAGCCTTCATTTCAATTGACTACAATACGACCCAGGGCATTGACTAACGTAACTGGAGGAGTTGTTATGACGACACCAGTCCCACAATCTAATAGAACAAACATATCATTACACTGTAGAAAAATCGATGTGAGTACTACTGAGTAGAAGCAATAATAAAGGTATGAAGTAAATCCATTGAGGGAGATTATTCAGTACATTTTCACTCAATAGTGAGCATTTTGATAATTTTACTCATTTGTGATAATATTTTAACTAAAACTGAGTACTTTCACTCAAATATAGGTTCCCGGTAAATAAATGCGTGAGCAGGGGCGGCGGAGGGTTGATTTGGGGGGTTGAAAAGTTGTGAAAAATTCTACCATTGAGATTTTTGGCAAAAGGTGGCGTTAAACAAAAAAGTATCTAATTCAATAGTTGTAGACAATGTAAAAATCTACAACTTTTGTAGAAGTCACTTTTTAAGATAACTTAAAAATTTCCGCGAAAAACGTGTTTTTTCTTATTTTTCGTTTTTTATTTCTCAATTCCGCAAAAGTAATTTAATTTTGACGAAACTTGGTGAAAGTATATCTGTGTGTCTTGAATAACTACACATTTTTTTACATAAAAAAATCAAGAATTTCCGAGATATTCAATTTTTCCGGTCTGAAACACTTTTTTTTTCAAAGAAAAATTCTACTTAGAAAAATCATCGTACAGACAGAGTTCTGACGGTAATAATTTTTTTCGTTTTGACATATACTTTTTGGTGGAATAAAAAAAATATGTGATCACAGTTCAAAAACATGATCAAAAATGCAAAAAAAATGACTTGCAACAATGAATTTTTCAGTAATTGTTGATAATTTGTTAATTAAAAAAACTGATTCCACCATTCAATTGTACGGAATAAAATACAAAAAAAACTGTGTCTCATTGTTTGACCCCTATTTTTAAATTAGAAAAATTACCACGAACTGTTGGAGCAGCTACACAACATTCCTATATAGAGCATACTTTCAGCTTCAGACGTGGCTTGGAAACAAAATAACTGCAACCAAGTGGGGCTGGAAAGAAGTAATTACTAATAGTTCCAAATTACTCATACCTCGCTTTACAGAAGTTTCAGTCGTGCCTGAAGATTTATTAAAAACAATCTCTTGCAGCTGCGAAACCAGTTGTGACGATAATAGATGCGGGTGTCGAAACATGGACTGCGATGTACAGATTTATGTACAAAATGTCATGGTTCGGGGAATTGTTTGAACGTTAACAAAATTTCGGAAAATTTCAGTGATTCCGAAGACATGAAATCGAGCAGCCAAGTCTTTCCGTGAGCCCGGAAAATTAACCGACGAATTAAGTGATATCGAAGAAACGTTTGAAGATCAGGAATAGCTCAGTCTAATAAAGGATCGGACGGTGAAGATCAAGTTAAAAAGTTGCCAAAAAGAGCAATATTCGCCTAGTATATTGTTAGGTACAAAAAACACAACTTTTTAATTTGAGCCACTCCGTATCTCTTACCGTTTCCTAGATCCTAATGCTATCTCATCCTTATCTTGGACACACTGTATATGTATATGAATTCATCAAAATTTTAAAAAAATAAGTACACTAATCGAACCTACGGAAAAAAAATATTTATTTTATTTATTCACTATTCGACTTAAATGTTTACAGCAATACTGTACAAAAATAAAGTTTTGAGTCAAACGATGAGACACAGTTTTTTTTTGTATATTTTTCCTTACAATTCAATGGTGTAATCAGTTTTTGATTTTTTTTTAATTTAAACAAATTATCAACAATTACTGAAAAATTCATTGTTGCAAGTCATTTTTTATTTGTTTTGCATTTTTGAGCATGGTTTTGAACAGTGATTACAGATTTTTTTAGTTCATCAAAAAGTATATGTCAAAACGAAAAAAATGATCACTGACAGAACTCTGTACGGCGATTTTTCCAAGTAGAATTTTTTTTGAAAAAAAAGTTGTAGGAAAAATTGAATATCTCGGAAACTTCTTGATTTTTTATTTAAGAAAATTGTGGTTATTTAAGACACAGAAAGGTATACTTTCACCAATTTTCGTTAAAATTAAATTATTTTTGCGGAAATGAGAAATAAAAGAAAAATAAGAAAAACAAAACCGTTTTTCGCATTTTTCTCGGAAATTTTGAGGTTATCTTAAAAAGTGACTTCTACAAAAGTTGTAGATTTTTGCATGATCTTTAACGTTTGTTTTGGATACATTTTTGTCTGAGGTCAACTTTCGACAAAAATCCCAATGATACAATTTTTCACAACTTATCAACGCCCCAAATCAACCCTCCGCCACCCCTGCTCACGCATTTCCACTTATAAAAGTCCAGGTAACAATTTTCTTTTTTTTTTCCTCTAAATGAGTTATTTCGATCGGTCTATATCCTGACAAAAACAGTTCACATTGGTACGTCCTGGATTTAGTCCATAAATTTTCGGAAACTGGAACGGTTGGAAACAGAAAGCATCAACGTGAACACGTTGTACGTAATGAGGATAATAAGATATTTTTATACATGTCAAAGGAATTAGGTCAACCTATTTATATTGATTTTAAAATTATTATTATTATACACTTCTTCAATGTCAATATTATCAACTGGAATTTCGTTTCATTCATAAAAACTTCAGCAATTTTTTTTAGGTTTTTGATAGTATTCGTTGTCACAAGATTGTTATGAATAATATATTTGCATATCATCTCCATACTAGTGAGAATTGCAACATGAAAAGAATTTAAAAAAGTAAGCACTATGATTAGCAAAAAGCAATGAGCCCAAAATATTTCCTTCTATTTAAAAAAAAACAAACAGCGATGCCGCTCTATGTGTGAATTAATTGAACGTCTTACGAGTTTATTTAAAGACTTACCTGGAATATTAATCCTCAAAATGTCATGTCATCCCTATAATTATGGGACAACCCATATAATAGGCTTTCCGTAGCATTCAAGTCTGTTGTTTTCACAATAAACATATGCATCTCAACGAAGTACCTAGCCTAGAGTCAAACAATTCCAGCGAAATTTTTCATTGAATCCTCGAATCCTCTGTATTAAACAGTATGTTTATTTTCGATAATTAATCTGAGATAAGATAATGATACCCAAAACGGTATTTCCCCGCCCCATCATAAAACTTTAGATATTCACAATCAGGTAGAGAAAATTACTCTCATAATAGTTTCCTTTTGTGTGAATTTTGTTCAAAACTTACATGAGTTCATTTAGAGATTGCCAAGTAAACTGAGATTCCCTGTCTAGATTAATGTCAGTAAGACTAACAAATAGTAAACCTGACATCTGTGGAATATTTAAAATTTCAAGAACCCTGTAGGAAACACAATGGGGAGTGCCCCAACTTTTTAGCTACATTGAAAAATTAAAAAAGATTAAAATATAAGAGATATTGCTGATATACTTCAACGCTTGTCGGAGTATGTCCAACATATACCATCTGTTAAACTACGTTTTAACAAAAAGTGAGGATTTTTTAAAATTTCAAGAGCCTGCATCTTGAGACTTCAATAAATGATAACGAAAATGTAGTTTCAAGAGTGAAAGCAATAGGTTCTTCATTTACTTTATTTATTACTTGAATGTCACTAACTTTCGTTCTTCTGTTTGTTTGTTTACGCAACACTGTCTTTTTCTCAGAATTATTAAATAATTAGAAAATGATGTTGATACTAAATAAATATTATTGAGCAATATGAAACAAATTAAAGTCATATTTCAGGAATTAAAAGACAATTATTATCAACTAAGAATATAATAGTTATGATTGGATGACATAAAACATTTACAAATATAATTAATTACAAATAAATTTTGCTTTTTTACAAAACAATACAATTTTTAAGTAAATCCAGTAATGTTTACAGCCAAAACAGGTCCAAAATTCTTCACTTTTCATCAAGTCATCAGCTGGGTTGCCATCTAAAACTTAGATCCGCCTCCAAACTGAACAGTAGTGTAACTGTAGCCTCCCTTGCCGTATCCTCCACCACCATGGCCCCCTGCAGCTCCATAACTTACACTGCTTGACGATTGAGGAACTGTTACGAATACAGGTTGAGAAATCCTGACGGGATAGGGCTGAGGTACTTGCACAGGATAGGGTTGTGGTACTGGAACCTTAAAAAGAAATATATCCGTTCTAGAGAGTATTCTAGAATGAGTATTGACAAGGAAGACGAAAATATCAAAGTAGTTATAGTCTAGCGGATATGTATACGTTTGTGCATATATATGCTCTGCTTTAGAAGAAACTGAAACTAGAAATTAAGTCCTCTTGCCGGTATTTATATTTGTCCTGTTTTTGAATTTTACGTTTGAGCCGTTTCCAAATTTAAGGAAGTTCTAGGTCCTCCCCACCCCAGTAGAAATTATTCCGATTCTTTTTGCTAGTTGAATATTTCTGTTGGTAAGTCCATTTTCTTTTTACATCAGTATGAATTGGCTTACTGTAAACACACTCTGATAAGGACATATAGAAACTGAAGAGTACCGTTTTCTTAACACCAGAATGAAGCTGAATATTGTCCAGAAATCCTTATATGGCATGGGCATAGCTACAATTTTTTATTGGAGTGGGCCTAGCGTTGCAAGCTTTATCTCCAAGCCTCTTAAGCAAAAGCTCTCGCTCGCAATCAGCGACTTACCGATATCAAATTTGAAAACGTTTTGATTTGATTCTTAAAAAAAGACTGCGCAGTCACCGATATGGCAAAGATTATCTTTTTGATAGATTAGATCTCTTTTCCTGGGGTGGGCACCGGGCTTTCTGGGGTGGGCCGCGTACACCCCTAATCCTCCTCTAGCTACGCCCATGCTTATGTTATTATCATGAGGCCAGATGATACATGTATCGTTAACATATTTGAACCAATACTTCGGCTTTAGAGTTGTTGTCTCCAAGCCTTTTTCTCAAAGGCTTCCATTGGCCAGGGCTAGAGAGTCAACTCATAGCTGCTCCTTATGATTATTCACGATACTGATGAGCCATCAATGAAGTCCCTCCAAAGTTTTAGCCACTTTGTGGACAATGAAGTCATATCAAAATCCACTAGTATATCATCTGGATCTAGATGGATTTCCTCGATCTAGTGGATAAAATCTTAATCGCATTTCCCACTAGATCTTTAACTTGCTGTTAGTGGATGAAAGGCTGCTCCAATTGCACTCGCTATTTGGTCGACGTAATACATTTGGCTTGTAAACCTTGGGAAAACAATAAAGTGATTCGTCTCACAAAACATATTTTTTCCCCTAGAACAATTTCGGGTCTGTGATAATTCAAAGATTTAAATCAAATTACAGATTGTTGTCAGTTACTCAAAGACTAATGAAGATATAAAACTTTGATATTAACATAGTGTAGTCTTCTTATAGATCCTATAAAAACATAAAATTACCAATTGCTTCTAAATTCGGATAGGTCCAAGGGCACCTGTCAAAATGTTACTTGAGGTTGAAGACGAATCTCCTCTTATAATAGGCACAAAAGTTTTGAATCTATCGATTCCTTCGTAATTCTAACATTACTGGTAATTTTTTTTAATATGTATATCTGCTTTACATCTTCAATATTCCTTGTTTTCCGCATTCCATATTTGACGCACCATTGTTTCGAAAAACTGTTACTCTCGCTTTTTGTCTATTTTTTAAAAAAGAGAATCAGTCCGCAGTCACAAATGAAAGACAATGTGACTATTACAACCCATATATGTATTAAAATTAAATACATAGAAAATACACTTAGAAAGCAGGTAAAATAGATTAAATATTAAATTATTGGAGTATGAATGGAAGAAGCTGGAGATCTATACACAGATATATAGTTTGATGGTTTCCAAATTCAATCCAAGATTTTGTTGGTCTTTGCAAAAACTACGAATGACTTTTTACCTGATGACATAACAGAAAATGTCACCAAACCAACTGGTGATAAGCTACGAAATCCTACAAACTAACCTCAAAATCTTAGAAAGAATAAAAATTCTGAGCTTTACCTGCACATGAACTGGAACTGGTACTTTGTAGGGCTGTGGAACCGGAACAGGAATATTCTGCGTAATCGGAATAGGCACTGGCTTTGACACGTGGACTGGATAAGGTTGAGGAACGGGTATCTGAACCGGTCGGGATACCACCACAGGAATAGGTTGGGCTACCGGAACTGGGACATTTCTATTAACTGTTACAGGATAGGGCTGGGGAATGGGGACAGGGATGGTCTGGGTGATAATTGCACCTCCCCCTCCTACTCCTCCTAGTCCTCCTCCTCCACCACCGTGTCCACCTCCAATTCCATGGGATAGCACCTCGCCTCCATCTCCGTAGCTGCCCCCATCTCCATAGCTGCCTCCATGGGATAGAACTCCAGCTGAACCGAAGGTGGCTGCTGAAGAAAGGATTGCCGCTACCTACCCCAAAGCACATATCAAAATCACATTTACTAGATATCTAAAACTGTTTATAAAAAAATTATTATTTTTGGACCTAAAGTATACCCGTTATAAAAATACATTTAATAAACTCAAATACAAATTATTTACAGAATTAGTATGACCTTTAGCTGCTGTTTCGCTTACATAAAATACAGGGTGTTAATGATAAGTTTTACCAAATTTTAATGGCGTAATCTATCGATGAAAATAATCAAGTTTTGCTCTATAAAATTTGGGGGATGACATTTTTTTAGTAGGAATTATTTTTGAATAACTGTTCCAAAATACACTCCAGTGACGTAGTTGTTGGGGGAGTAGAAAACTTTTTTGAAAAAAAAAAATCGTACGCCACTGACTTTTTAAACAATTTTAAATGTTTTTAAAATGTACCTACAATCAATTTGTGGCAATAAAGTCTTTTTGTAAAGTATTCGTAAAATTTACTGGTCTTTAGATAATTGGGAAATCAAATAAGAAGATACTTAAGTACCTACGTTGCTATTTATATAGCAACATATTTAAATATGTAAAAATAAATTCAATACCTAATATTTTTGAGAGATTTCAAAACACTATACAACGCCACTGTTTTGCGTGTTGCAAAAGGTTTGTTTTTCATACAACTAAAAGCAGATTTTAATAAAAAAAAATATGGTATTCAATTTTGGACATTTCTTGTGATGTATAGTGTTTTGAAATCTCTCAAAAATATTAGGTATTGAATTTATGGCTATACATTTAGCAATCAACAGAAAGTGGTAAATAGCAATGTAGGTACTTAAGGACGTTCGATACACCTCTTCCGGGGCGGGCGGTGCGGAGAGTATGCCTATGTTTATACACGGGAGTCTTGTTGCAGTACCAACTTTATATAAATTAATTTCAGCGAACTAAGTATGCTATTTAGAATGAAATTTATACAACACATATTAGCTTGCATATTTTTTTCGTGTTTAATACACGTCAGTTCACTTTTTATTTGANTTATTAATGCTCTTCGGTGGCATGAAAACTGCCTTGTAGGTATTTGTTTTCCTTTGTAAATTTAATTGTTTCTAAGTACTTATGTACACTTACTTTTTTGAAAAGCTGATACGAAAAAAAAAGTAGAACGTCTAGGGTTTCGCTAGAGGTCTATTTTATAAAATTTTCAGATATTTTTTAACAACATTTATTCAGTTAAAAGAGCATTAAAAATATTATTCAATCGGCAATTTTGCTTAAGTGTTTAGAAGAAATCTATAAAATTAGGAACTAACTAAATTGGAATAGATACCAAATAAATGATCCGTATTCTAGCTTGCATCTGACTTTTAAATGCTATTAACATTAGTAAAATCATTCAAAATCCCTTAGTTTATTCGCGAAGATACACAAATTTCGATAAAATTAAAAGTTATTAACACAATAAATTGTTGAAAGGGTGTTTCAGTTCGAGTGAAACTTTAGCCACAAATAGAACTCAACTTTGTAAATTTTACACCACCAAATTTGAATCAATTTGTTGTAAGGATAACAAAGATTTCGTAAGTAATTTCCATTATCTCAATAATTACATTGTAAGTGCATATTTTTATTGTTTTAAAATGTTTAGTAATATTTAATTCTTTAATTACAATTTTATTTTTCCGATCCTAACCATTTTTAAGAGCAATATTCACGTTTGATTAAAGTTTTTTTCCCAACTCCCATAAGAGCCTGTGTAAAAGAGCATAATTTTTAAAATCATTTTTCAAAAAAACTACGTTGTCAATCGATCTGATATTTTTACACACGTCAGTTTGCATATTTATTAACAGATTTCAGTTGCTTTGAAAACATTCTTACCATTTTTCTTTTGGTATCGAACCTCCTTAAGTATCATCTTATTTGATTTCCCAATTATCTAAAGACCAGTAAATTTTACAAATACTTCACAAGAATACTTTATTGTCACAAATTGGTTGTATATTTAAAAAACATTTAAAATTATTTAAAAAACCAGTGGCGTACGATTCTTTTTTCAAAAAAAGTCCCCAGGTCCCTCAATAACTACGTCACTGGAGTATATCTTGGAATAAGTTATTCATGAAAAAATACTAAAAAAATGTTGTCCTTCAAATTTTATCACTTTTATGTCAGTGAAGTTACAGGAAAATTAATATAAATATTTGAAACTTCTCTATAACATTTTTTTTGTTATTACTAAACGTTATTGACAAAGTATTTACACCATTTATTATTAAAACACCATGTATCATATAATTGACATCTAAAATATGATTTTATGGCAACATTTAAATGTCTTATTATTAGATTTATATCAGTGCGTTTGGGAGGTCTTCCTCTATGAAAAAAATTACTGATAAATAAACATGAAATCCAAATGTTCTTAGGATCNAAAGTCTTTTTGTAAAGTATTCGTAAAATTTACTGGTCTTTAGATAATTGGGAAATCAAATAAGAAGATACTTAAGTACCTACGTTGCTATTTATCGTTTTCTATTGATTGCTAAATATGTAAAAATAAATTCAATACCTAATATTTTTGAGAGATTTCAAAACACTATACAACGCCACTGTTTTGTGTGTTGCAAAAGGTTTGTTTTTCATACAACTAAAAACAGATTTTAATAAAAAAAATATGGTATTCAATTTTGGACATTTCTTGTGATGTTGTATAGTGTTTTGAAATCTCTCAAAAATATTAGGTATTGAATTTATGGCTACACATTTAGCAATCAACAGAAAGTGGTAAATAGCAACATAGGTACTTAAGTATCATCTTATTTGATTTCCCAATTATCTAAGGACCAGTAAATTTTACGAATACTTTACAGGAATACTTTATTGTCGCAAATTGATTGTATATTTAAAAAACATTTAAAATTATTTAAAAAACCAGTGGCGTACGATTCTTTTTTCAAAAAAGTCCCCTGCTCCCTCAATAACTACGCCACTGGAGTATATTTTGGAATAAATTATCCATGAAAAAATACTAAAAAAATTTTATCCCTCAAATTGTATCACTCGATCTTTTATGTCAGTGAAGTTACAGGAAAATTAATATAAATATTTGAAACTTCTCTATAAGATTTTTTTTGTCATTACTAAACGTTATTGACAAAGTATTTACACCATTTATTATTAAAACACCATGTATCATATAATTGACATCTAAAATATGATTTTATGGCAACATTTAAATGTCTTATTATTAGATTTATATCAGTGCGTTTGGGAGGTCTTCCTCTATGAAAAAAATTACTGATAAATAAACATGAAATCCAAATGTTCTTAGGATCAAAATAAGACGATTTAATTATCTCTGTCCAAAGTTGCTTCTTTCACCAGCAAGATCATCTCAAAAAGATTTTCGTTTTCAAAATAGCTTTGAAATCGATGTAAATGGAATTTGATATGCGAGCGTTAGATATTCGCTTTCAAAAACCAGTGTTTGATATATTCAGTTACAGAAATGGCAAATTTGATCATATCTTTTTTGACAGTGACACATTACAATTATTCTATTTTAAAGCTTTTCAATCTATTTTTTTTGTTTTGCTTTTACCGGTTCACAATAATTATTTTATTATTTTGCACCAACATGTTTGCGATACACATTGAATCGTGAAAATAATTATTTATTTTAGAGGAAAACTAAATATTGCTATGTGAAGTTCAAAAGATTTGTAATATTGTAATTCTTTCATGAAAACTTTTGGAAATGGTCATCATTTTTAGCAACATAATTCGTTTCCTATATCTGAAAAAAAATCCAATACAAAATGTCTAAAAAATTGTAAGCATTATCTATACTATGAAACTTTTATTTTCTGTTTCTATTGAGAACGATATAACAGCTGATTAAATAACTTTCTTCTTCATTTTCCTCATATCATGTTACTCTTTTTATGGGACAGTTCATTTAATATATTGTTCTTTTCTTTTCAGGTATGTGCCTCTTCGAATAAGAAAAAGCGGAAAAATGAAATCTATATACTCGTAAGTAGTATAAAAAGCTAAGTTTTTGTAATATCTATCCTTATACAATTGATATATACCTATCAATTCATCGATAATTTTTGATAAACTTATCGGAACCATTTGAATTCGTTTACACGTTCGATTGTTTTACGTTTATGTCATTATCTTGACCTATTATCCCGTTGAATAATTCGAACATTTTTAAAACTCGAAACATGACCTAACCAGGCCATTTTCTTGGCCTGGAAATAAGAAAATGTACACGTGATACACGTAGGAATGACTGTTCAGTGGTCTATACATACACCAATTTGCTGTGAATAATTGAGGCATAATTTAGTATTTTTTTTATATTCTTTGATTATAAATTCAATTTTACCCATAAGAATCTATTTATTTGTTCACTTCACTGCGATAAGAAAACAATTAATGAATATGAAATGAAAATAACATGGATATGATAGAGAGAGATTTATTAGTACCTACGCCATCAGAGTGGGCTCCTAAAATTAAATGAAACACTCTGTAGATTAAGTATTCTGTATTAATATTTTTGTCCTTTGTCCTATTATTTAAACCTAAATTAACGGACAATTACTATTTTCAACCACATTTAACAAACCTGTGTAATGATATGTTTGTGGAAAATTAAAAATTAGACCTACTTGTTAAATTTGAATAATTTTACTTAAGCAGTTGCGTTAACTTGTGACGCCACTAAATTTTTCTTGTTACACCGTGTATTCAATTCTTTACATCAGCTTTATCGACCTCTAAGAACTGAACACCTCTTATCACTTTAAATATTTGTAATCACTTATTTTATCAAAAAACTGCACAGTACACACAAAACATTTTCTAATAATTTATTAATTTCCAGCAATCGATAATACACAAGTTCGTCATAAAAAAATGTTTGATAAAATGACTTACCAGGAAAAGTTTCATTTTACTCGGCAGAGGAATACGGAATGATTTGATGTTAGGACTCCTATAATTTATTATAATTC